GGCGGTGGGATCCGGGTAGGTGTGTAGGGCGGGGTGGATGTGGAGAGGAGACGGTGCGGAGCGTGATGATGCGGTGGGGACTCACGCGGAAGGGGCTTAGGGCGAGCGAGAGCGCGAAGAGGCGCGGCGGGCGGCGGGGATCAAGGCCAGCTACGCGAGCGGGGATGGAATGGCTGGGATCATGGCTGGGGCAGGGATGACTGGAGGGCTTGGTGATGGCGTCGTGGGGCTCAATGTCAATGCGACGAGGCCGCAGGATGTGTTTGACGCGCAGTGCTATCATCGGCTGGTCGAGAGCTTCTTTGACGCCGAGCTGTTCATCGGGATGATGGAGGCGCGCGGGGTGGACAAGTACACGCTGCAGCGCGGAGTGGCAGTCTGGCAGGATGCGTTCAACAACATCTCGATGTCGTCCAAGCACCGGGCCAAGTACATGGCGCGGCTGCGCAAGGTGTCTGCGATACTGCGGCGCGATCTGCGGCAGTGAATGCGGTGGCTAGCGGATGATGCGGAGCGTGGCCGACTCTTGCCACTTGTCGGTGACGTAGGCGACGTGGCGCGAGGCGACGGCAGTGGCTACCAGGCCGGAGATCACCCATGCACCGAGAAGGACGCCATCGCGGACAATAGGCGCGTTGTCGTCGTCCTGGCGGGCAAGCTGGAAGACGTACGTGACAAGGGTGGCAGCCAGGGAGGCGACCAGCGTGGCAAAGTGGAGGCGGGCGTAGGATGGAAAGCGCGAGCGGGCAGCAAAGAGGCCGGTGACGCCGGCGAGCATAGGCAGCGGGAAGCCGATGACGCCCGCAGCGAGGCGGGAGGTCTGCAGCGAGGCGACGCATGCTTGGACAAAGGCCGCGGTGCCGCCGGCGAGGTTGGCCAGCGCAATGCCAAAGACTGCGCGAGGTAGGAGCGAGCCGGCACCGACGTTGAGGAAGGGCGAGATGCGGGCGTCGGGCGGGACCTCGTCTGAGACCGTGGCCAGGCCGACAACGACCATTCCACCACCGCACCACAGAATCCATCCAGCCAGCGGCAGTGCAAGCTCGATGTTCTCCTTCTGCAGCGCATCGCCAGTCAAGCAGCTCGCGTCGCTCCGTCCGCACACATTGACAGCGCCGAGCGAGACGCCGTAGACGCCGACGACACCTGCCAGTGCAGTGGCAAGGGCAGCAAGATGGACGGCCGAGTAAAGGGTCGAGCGATCAGCAGCAGCGTAGCAGCCACATACACCAGCCAGAGCGAGGAGAACAAAGACCGGAGCGCCGAGATCAAAGCCTTTGTGTGTTGCCAGTGAGTTGCGGAGCGCCCATCCGTACATGCCAAGGGCAAGGAGAAGGAGAGCCAGTGAGTGTGCAAAGGCAAGATGTTTGTATGGTGTTCTACTTGGATCCCGCATGTGGAATCCTCGACTGGTGCTACTGAGCGACATGGTCAGGGTCTGTGTGTGTGGTGGGGGGGGGGAGGGGGGTGAAGTGACGGGGAGCAAGGACTGGAGGGACGGGACGGGGGGGGGGGTGAAAGGGACACTCCTCGTGGAACTGTAGTTGTTGGTGGAGAAAGAATGGATATGACCAGTGTTGCACATCCGCTAGTCCCACGGTATTACCGTGGGCAGCTACATCTTGGTGGTGGTGGTGGTGGTGGTGGTGTCGTTGGTGGTGGTGTCGTTGGTGGCGGTGCAGGTGGGGCCCGAGAGACGTTGGGAACAGGCGTGCGGTCATGGAATGGTGGCAGTCGGGCGGCGAGGGAGAGACTGAGATCGGGTCCGATGCGCAAGACGATGAGCGGGTATGGCTACATTGGCGGACGAAGCAGCGGGCTGGCGAGCGGGTACGGTAGCGGATACGGAGGCGTGTATGCAGCGCGGTCGGGGTCGATGTACGGGCTGGTTCCGCCGCAGCCGCGACCACTGGTAGATGAAGAGGCTGCGGGCGAGTTAGCGACGCTCCGCAGCGAGCTGGCTGCTCAGGTGAGTGAAATCCAGGGCGAGATCAGCGAGGCGCAGCGCATGTGGATCGAAGCGTATCGCAAGATTGGGGCGGCACATCACTTTGCACGGCTGGCAGCGTTTGGTGGCGACTACGCCCGTGTTCGCGACCATCTCGACGAGGCACGGCGGCTGGCAGGAACTCATGCCGAGGCCGGGCGCGCGGCTGCGGCAGCGCATTTTCGCCTTCGCCGGGCCTACGTCGCGCATGCCCGGCAGCTGCAGCTCGTTTGGCAGCGGATCGGTGGCCAGCAGACGGACAGACTGGTGGCCTTGATTGGTGGTGCTAGCAACAGCACCAGTGCCAGTGCCAGCGCTAGCGCTAGCTCCAGCTCGTGCTCGAATGAGTCGGAGAGCGAGTCGGGTAGCGAGTCTGACAGCGATTCGTCATGAGTTGCGTTTGTGGCGAGATGGCTGGGTGCTAAAGTGCGGCAGAGAAAAAGCGACAGTGTCGTCATATCTCTCTCTTAATCGAGCCGACTGTAGCATGGCAAGTGCAGCAATGAGCAAGACAGGCGTTGCAGTTGCAAGCGAAAAGGAGAACGTTGAAGTTGTTTCATGTGCTGCAGACAGTGGTCGTGCGGATGTAGTCAGTGGATTGGCCGGCAGGGAGGAAGAGGCTATTCAGCCGTTGGCTCAGGTGGCTAACGAACATTTCGAGCGCCTGACCCGCAGCATGGGCAGCGAGCGCAAGGTGCTGGGACGCGGGTTGACGCGGCAGGCACTGGTGGACATGCTGCAGGGAGTGGGCTTTGGCGTCCATCCGGGCGTCCTTGACTTTCACCTTGCGGGCGTTGTCTTCCTGTGGGCTGCGGTCGGTTCGTGGCTCTCGCGGAGGATTTGTTCCGCAAGTGGTCAACCTGGGCGCTGTACTCGTCGACGTGCATGACACTGCCGTTTGCGGTACCAGTGTCTAACATTGTCATCGCTCGCAAGCGCTGTAGCCCGCAATATGTGCGGCACGTGAAGGTGGTGGTGCGGTTCGGCGGCGCGCTCGGGGGTGTACTCGGCGCCAGTAGCGGTGTCAACGTTAGCGGTCGCGCTTGGCCGCTGGCTCCGGCCGCAACGCCAGTCCAACTTGTCCCATCGTGGTATGCGATGACTACCGGCCCTGGCAAAGTGGATGATAGTGCGGTCAATGTGACGGATGCTGCAGTCGACCAGAGTGCGGCGGTGGCGATTATTAGCGCTGGAGTCGGAGTCGCGCCTGGCGGAGACAGCGGTCCTGTGTGGGTGATGTCGAGCACTGGTGGTGTGAGCGGGCATGGAATGCCTGGTCCAGCAGCCGGTGCGTGGTCTGGCTCGCACATGGGATCGGCAAGTGCGATGTATGGATCTGGAGCCGGGGTGCAGACTGTGTCTGTGGCTCCCGGTGCTGGTGCCGGGGTCGCATCAGGTGGACAGGGCGGTTCCGTGAGCGCAATGTCGGGCACTGGTGGTGTGAGCGGGCATGGAATGTCTGGTCCAGCAGCCGGTGCGTGGTCTGGCTCGCACATGGGATCGGCAAGCGCGATGTATGGTTCTGGAGCCGGGGTGCAGGTTGCGTCTGCGGAGCCAGATGATGGCGGGGCGACATCGACTACTGACGCTGGAGTTGTACCTGGTAGCAACAGCGGTCCCGTGTACCTGATGTCCGGCCCCGGCGGAATGGGTGGGTATACATTTGCACCCTGGGATGGCGGATACAGGCCGAGATATGCGGTGTCTGGTCCAGCAGCCGGTGTTTGGTCTGGCTCGCACATGGGATCAGCAAGTGCGATGTATGGATCTGGAGCCGGGGTGCAGACTGTGTCTGTGGCTCCCGGTGCTGGTGCCAGAGTCGCGTCAGGTGGACAGGGCGGTCCCGTGAGCGCGATGTCGGGCACTGGTGGTGTGAGCGGGCATGGAATGTCTGGTCCAGCAGCCGGTGTGTGGTCTGGCTCGCACATGGGATCGGCAAGTGCGACGCCAAGCTCCAGGGCAAGAGTGGCATCTAGCTCGGCAGCACCAAGTGCTGCGCTTGCGACGGAACCGGCTGGACACAGGGCCGCGACCTCAACTGCAGTCTCCAGCACTGGCGCTGCAACCCGGGACAGTATGGCCACGCCGGGGAAGGTGCACCTGGAGCGCGAAAGGGATCGAGCACAGGCGTGAGGTACCACATGCCAACGATGCCAGCGGCTACTGTGTCGCGGCAAGGTGCTGACGCCCGCAGCGTTGGAGCAGCGGCGTCGAGCCTGGGTACAAGCACCAAAGCGAGGTCGACCGCGATGGGAGCTGGCAATGACAATCGATTGAGCGTCAACACGACGGCAGAGTCAGGGCAAGGTGCAAACACAGGCCCCGCGGCTGGAGGCGGTATGGCCGTGAGCTCCGCTGCGAGTGCGGGCGGCAACGTCTCGTCTCATTCGGGCACCGGGTTCGGGTCTCTGCCGCGGGCACCTGGAGGGGCCACGCCTCCCACGCGCTCGCCGCCGCCGCAATCGATGGCACCCGCCGGATTCAACTCGCTCTCGATGCCGGTCAACAGCCGCAGGGCTCGCCCACCAGCCGGCTACAACTCCTGGTCCGGCCCGCGCCCATCGGCTGCGCCAGCGCTCGACGCTAACGCCATAGCCAGCGTCACTGCTTCCGCTGATCACCGCAAGGCGGTGGCAGCCTCGCAGGTCAAGCAAGCTAAGCTTTTCAACAAGATGGCCCAGCTCGATGCCAAGACCGCCGACGCGCAGCGCAAGGCACACGCGGCGCACATGGCGGGTGACAAGGATGCTGCCGCCAAGTATTCCAAGAAGGCCTCCAAGTCAATGCGGGAACGCACCAGCGTTGCCAAGGAGGTCGCCTCAGAACAACGCGCGCTCCAAAAGAAGCAGGCCAAGCATGCGCGCAAAGGACAGTCGGCCATGGCCAAGGCCACCTCGTCGTCGCGCGGTGAGACCAGTTTGCGGTCGAAGCGTTCGTCGCCTTCCGCCCGTAGCGCCAAGACCTCGTCAAGCACCAGCAGCTCGGGATCGGACACGTCCGCAACGTCGGCGTCGTCGACGGCGACCGAGGCACTGTCGTCATCAGCCTCTTTCGCATCGTCTGTGTCGAACTCGGCGTCGTCGTCGTCGGCGTCGTCGGCGTCGTCGGCGTCGTCGGCGTCGTCGGCGGCGTCGTCGTCGTCGTCGGATGAGATGTCGTCATCGTCGTCGTCTGTGGCTTCGTCATCAACGTCATCTGTGGCTTCGTTATCAACGTCGTCGTCCTCATCGTCGTCGTCGCCGGTGCCGTTGAGGGCTTCGGCTTCGGCTGCAGCTGCAGATGGGCCTGGAGTCTCGTCGTCCTCGGAGGCGAGTAAGTCTTCGGAGGACTACGATGTCACCCAGTCGTCGACACGCGGACGCGGCAGGGGCCGCCGACATGGTGCCGCCGCCACCGTAGAGTACGAGTATGTTTACGAGCATGTCCCTGCCAAGAGTCTCGGCATGGGCGGGCGTAGCGCAGCTGGCGACTACGAGTACGTCTACGAGGACGTGCCTGTCGGGGGCAAGTCGGCGGTTGTCGAATACGAGTACGTCTACGAGGAAGAGGTCATCAAGGGCAAGAAGTCCAAGAGGGGCAAGAAGAACAAGTCTGTCGCCGTCTCGAAGGAAGTCACCTACGAGTATGTTTGGGAGGAGGCGTAAATCATCAGCATGTACACGATACCAGCCGCCGCCGACCAGTCACGTGGCGTCTTGTTGCCTTTTCGGTCCGGACCGACGAGCGATACCAACGTATAGCTCTCTCGAGGCCATGCACACGCTCAGCCACCCCCACGTGCCCCGTGTTTGGCTCCTCGTCACACTCGTTGCGCTTACCTCCCTCCACGTACCGCTGGCGGTGTCAGCGGCCGAGGCAACCATTGCCCACGTCCCGTCACAGGTCGTCGACACCGCTTCCGGCCCGGGAGGCTGGTTCCTCGCTGTGCTTGCTGATGGCCGGGTGATGCGGTCCGGAGGCATGGGCGAGGCGCCGGTTGAGGTTAAGCTTCCGTCTGGAGCAGAGGACTCGCTGGTGGCGGAGGTCTATTCCCACGGTGATGTGGTGGTGGCGGTCGGGGGCGGAATGGGCAAGGTCCACTTTGTGTCCAAGGACGGCGGCGCCAGCTGGCAACCGATGTCAACGCCGCTGGCGGTGGACGTGGCGCGAGTCCCGGTGGCACGGGCATCGGACCTGGTTTCCTTCCATCCGCACCAGAACGGCTGGTGGCTGGCGCGGTTTGCCTCGGACGGCTGCCTCGACAAGCCGCGCTTCCGCTGCTTCCGCGTCCTCGGCATGACCAAGGACTACGGCGCGTCGTGGTCGCTCATCGCAGACTATGTTGTCCAGCACGGCTGGGCTGCTCAGCTCAAGGTATCAGCGGTCAGCGATGATGCTGTACTTGTCGTCAAGTGGTCTGCTCGCGCCTCGGAAGACTCGCAGCTCGACGTTGACTACTCGCTCGACATGTTCTTCGGTGTGCTCAACGCCGGACGCGCAGCCCGGATTGACGAGGCTCCGACCAGCATTCTCGCTGTTCCGATCATTGGCGAAGTCCGTGGCGGTGCCGCTTTTGAGCTAGTGGCACCCTCATTTGTTTATGTCGAGACGCTCGAGGACGATGGTGCTGCCGTCCATCTCACTGTCTCGTCCGACGGCAAGGAGTTCAACCGAGTCAAGCTTCCCAACTCACTCACGCTCGAGGAGCGTGCGCATCAGTTCCTCGACGACGGTACTGACGCTGTTGTCCTTCACATCGCGGAGCACGCATCGTGGGGCCACCTGTACACCTCAAGCGCCGATGGCGTTTCGTTTGCGCTCATGCTTGAGCACGTCCACGAGAACGACATTGGGCCAGCGTTTGGCCCGCTCGCATCAGTAGAGGGCGTGCTTGCCGCCAACGTTGTCGACAATCCGTTTGCTGGAGCCAACGCACCGCTGGTGATCACCACCCTTGTTTCGACCGATGCCGGCGGGAGCTGGCAGCCGCTGACGGGTCCCCAGCGCGATGCGCACGACGCACCGCTGCCGTGTGCTCTTGTTGGCGCGGGGGGTGTCCGTTTGCGATTGATCTGGGTGCTCGCGGCTGCCTGGCTTACGCCTTGTCCGCGCCCGGTATCGTGTATGCCGCCGGTGCTCTGGATGGCGCCGAAGGCGCAGCAGCGTTCTCATCCGACGCTGGAGCTAGCTGGGAGCTGCTCAGCGGCAACGAAGACGTCGGATTCTGGATGGCCCGCGACGGCGGTGCCGTCCTACGTGTCCCGCGTGAGCAGACCCAATTTGTCGGCGTGCGCCATGTTACCGGCGCTGCGTTCTCTGCCGTCGCGCTCAGTGACGACGGCTCGAACGTTCGTGTTGTAGGTGTCACCGACGTTTCGGTCATCGACGACAAGTCTGCGAGCTCAACACGCTACAGCTGGATGCTCGAGACCGAGTCGTTTGGTGGGGTCGGCCTCGTCCGCGTCGACGTAGTGCCGCCGTCACTCCCGCCGGTCTGTATCCCCTCGCAGTACGAGAGCTGGAGCCCTGGCTATGGATGCGTGCTTGGGCGTGAGAACACGTATCGGCGGCGCAAGCCCGACGCGTTGTGCGTCCCGCTGGAGAGTCACGACGGTCCCGATGCAGACCACTGCATGTGTACAGCAGCCGACTGGGAGTGCGACGTCGGGTATGTCCGCGAGAGCCAGGACGATCCCGACGCGGCGTGCGTGCTCAAGTCTGGCAAAGACGCTCCGGACGACACAGAACGGGGTGAGTGTCCGGCTGACGGCTACTACCGCATCACCCGCGGGTACCGTCGGGTGGCCGGGGACTCGTGCATCGATGGCGCCGACGACCCGTTTGCGCCGTCTCGCAAGTGGTGTGGAAACGAAATTTCTGGCAGCCCGGGCGCATCGCGGGCGCCACTCTTCATTGTTCTCGGCATCGCTGTCATCACTCTCGCCATCGGCGGCGCTTGGGTCTACCGTCGTGCAAAGGTGTTGGGCCTCTTGTCGCTCGTTGGGGCTCCTGTTTCGCGAACCGGGCACGAGCGGCTCATCTCCGATTCCGAAGCGGGCTCACATGCCAGCGACAGCGCCGATGCGGACGACGGGCTGCCTGACGCTGTCATTGCCGACGACATGCTTATCCAGAGCTCTGACGAGCGCACCGAGGTAAGTGGCGATGCTGCTGACCCGAGCGACCATGGCGAGCTGGGCACGGGCGAAACGTATGATGGTAGCGGCGAGCTGTAAACACGTTGCACGGTCGGGCGGCACGACTCGACTCGCCGACGACATGTGGCCCAGCTGCTCCGCTTGGTGCTGGGCGCCTGGGATACTTGCTGTGGCAGTCACGGCCTGGCTAGTGTGGCAAGCTGTGCGGCTTGTGCGAGCTGACTGTGACTTGGCGACGCTCTCGGCATGGGGCCGGCTGGTGGCGGCCGACTCGGGCGCTGGGCTGCGCGCGGCGGTGGCTGGCAAGCGGGTGTGGCTGACGGGTGCCTCGTCGGGCATCGGTCGCGAGCTGGCGATTGTGCTCGCAGAGCATGGAGCTGATGTAGCGATTTCGGCGCGATCAGAGAAGAAGCTACAGGAGCTTGCTGCCGAGGCGGTGCATCTTCCGGGACGAATGGTCGCTGTCCCGCTCGACTTGCTGGAGACTAGCTCGCACGAGACGGCGGCGGCGACGGCGGCCGCCGCGCTCGGTGGTCGTATTGAAATCCTGGTCAACAACGCCGGACGGTCGCAGCGGGCGCTGGTGGAGGAGACACCCGTCGAGATTGACGAGGCCATGTTCAAGGTCAATGTGCTGGGGACCATTTCGGTGACCAAAGCCGTGCTTCCGTCGATGCTGGAGGCTGGTGACGGACTGGTGGCGGTGACTTCATCGGTGGCCGGCAAGCTTCCGACGCCGGTGTCCGGCTCGTATGCCATGACCAAGCACGCCCTCAACGGGTGGATGGGCTCGTTGGGAGCCGAGGTAGGCGAGCGCGGCATCGACACTTGTATTGTGTGTCCAGGCCCGGTTGTGTCCGAGGGCGCAGCCAACGCGTTCACGGCCGAGGTCGGTGGGCGGGTGGGTGAGGCCGCAGCCGAGCCGATGAAAGCACACAAGATGTCGACCCGACGATGTGCTGAGCTGTATGCGGCAGCCCTTGGCGCGCGCATTCACGAGTCCTGGATTTCCCAGCACCCTGTGCTGCTCTTTACCTACGTGGCGCAGTACGCGCCGACGCTGCTCTTTACGCTCGGTAAGAAGATGGCGGCCAAGCGGGTGGCGGCATTCCGCAGCGGGGACATGGGCTACAGCTCGGTCAACTCGGCGTCGGCTGTGTTGTCATTTTTCAAGCGGTGAGCAGGTGGCAGCAAAGGAGGTGTGTGTGTTCACTGGAGGGTGCAGGATGCAGGCGTGGCCTCGGCGCGGGAGGCGGCCATGGCGGCAGCTAGCTTGCTGCATGCAACGGCATGGCCGTCGTCAAAGTCGGAGCGTTGACAGTGCTCCGAGCAGTAAAAGACGGCGCCGCAGCCGCCGCATGCATAGGCGGCCGAGAGCTGGCCGCGCAAGGGGCACGCAGATGACGAGCAGTGGGTCTCGAGAGCAGCGACGATGCCGGCTGCATCATCGTCGGCGTGCGCGAGGAGCGAGCGAGCGGCGACGGCGCGAGCAAGAATGTACGGTGCGGCGTCAGGGCTAGCACGACATGCGCACGTAGGTGCGTGAGCTAGGAGAAGCTCGACAAGGTCAAGACGCGAGGTCGAGACAGCAGCAACAAGAGCTTCCGGTGTTGCGCACGAGGCGAGGTTAAAAGGACCGGAAGGATCGAGCAGGATCTGAAGCTGGTCTCCGCAGAGCTCAGGCGGCCGGCCGGCAAGGAGGACAACCGGCGACTGGCCATCGAGAGTGGGGGAAGTGAGGACAAACGGCTGCGGGTCGCTAACCTTGCCACGTACCATGGTCCACTCACCGACGAGGGGAGCAAAGAGCGATTCGATGTCATGTGCTGGGAGGCAGGTCAGCGCGCGATGGTAGGCAAGGTGACCGCGAGAGTCTGCAGTAAAGGTACGATTGCGGTCGGCGGCGAGGAGCTCGGCGGCGAGGTCAGCAAAGGGAGGAATGGACGACGGAGCCGGGTATGCATGAGCGCTATCGTTGTCCAAAAGGTCGTCGGCATCAGCGTCGTCGGTCGCAGGCAGTACAGACGGCGCCCAGCGCTCGATGAGCATGTGCAGCGCAGTAATGGACCGAAACGACCGAGACGGCGAAGCGCCACGTGCAAGGAGGAGACGGGCAGTCTAAAACAGCCATCACGGGTGAGTAGAAGAGAGAGAGAGAGAGAGAAAGGGGAGGCGCACGAGGCAATAGAAGACAGAGAGTCAGAGGGTCGATTATGATCGTCTGCAGAAATGACCAAGGGCGCGCCTCGGACGGACGCTATGAAGAGACGCAGCTCGGCACTGCCGACAGCCACAGTCGCACTGGGGGCCGGGTCAAGATCTGTGGCAGCCATCACCGGCCAGGCGGCGGGCAGCAGGGCGACAGTGCCGTGTACAAGAGAAGGAGGACCATCCGAGCCGCCGCAGAGCGACGGCTGGCACCAGCCCAACCCAACTTGTAGACGGCGCTATGCACCTACGTGCCCGAGAGCCCAACACACAAGGGCCATGGCAGCCAAAGAGACTTGAACCGGCCGGACGGCTGCGGCCATTTTGTCAGCAGGCCTCAGACGCGTTGTCAATCTAATGTACGTCCGCCGTGGAGGTTGCCCAGGGCCCGGCGCGGTACTGGGCGCGCCCGAAGCCGCGGCGACGCGAGAGCACGGCGACCCAACCTGCAAAACGCAGGTGGGCCGCCGGCCCGTGCGCGCGATCCGAAGATTGCGACATTGCACGTGAACACGCCGTCGCATTGGCAGCGGGTGCCGCGGAGAGGCACTCTGCTCATAGAATGGATTGACAAAGGTGTCGTCATTCTCTCTGGTGAAGGGATGGGGGAGGGGAGGGAAGGGGGAGGGGAGGGAAGGGGGAGGGGGAGGGGGAGGGACGTACCTGGTCCCAGCCGGGGCTTGGAGCTGCGCTCAGCGCAAACATGAGGGGTGTTGGCGCGTTGGGAAGTGACGGTGCAGGCGGGCCGTCGTCGTCGGGGTAGACGGTGATAGCGCCGTCCGGGCTGGCGCCGGCGTCTAGCAGAGCCCTGACAAGCGGCACGAGAGCCGGGCTGACGCGACTTGCGACGAGGGCAAGGAGCGAAGGCGGCCACTGAGCGAGCTCTGGAGGAGTGGAGGGCGAGTGCGAGGGATCAAGCGAAGCAATAAAGCCCGGTAAGTCCATGTTCGGGTCGAGGGGATCGGCGTCGAGCTGCAGCAAAAGCTTGAGGACAGCAAGCGCAGCGGCAGGGTCAGCGGCGGCAGTGGCAGTGGCGAGAGCAGACACAAAAACTAGTTTGCCTTCATCCCACAGCGGCGAGGGCAGCGAGGAGGGCGGGGCGGCCGAGGCGTGGGCATGCCAGTCGGCAAGGGCAGAGGGTGTGCTTGCGACGTGGCGGAGAGCAGCAGAGAGCGACTTGAACGGGGGGTACAGGGTGGCCGTGGCCATGCCCCTGGAGTTGTGTTCGTGGAGAAGGGGAGGTGGGGAGAGGTGGTGAGGATTTTGAACGGTGATTGGGCGTCGGCAGAGTGCGTGAGTTTTGGCAGCAGGCGAGAGAGTTACAGTTTACGAGGGAGCAGGACCGAGAAGCTGAGGGTGCAGTCACATCATGTCCTCGATGTCCATGCCGCGGATGTCGTCATCCGGCTCGAGCTCGCCGTGGACCATCATGTCGGACATGCCGTCGCCGCCCATAGAGACGACGCCGTTGAGATTGAACATGGAGATGATGTCGTCCGAGTTGGGGAAGACGGTGGGCGAGGCCATGATGAAGATGAACATGATGCGGCGGAGCTTGGGGTTGTAGAAAAAAGATTCGCCGACCAGAGGGCATCAACAAAGAGCGAGGAGTAGGCCTCGTCGGGAAGGTAGGCGTAGACATCGCAGGCCGACGGCTCGATCTCCTGCTCCATGGTCTTCCAGAGGCGCGGCTTGAGGGTCATGTGGTAGGAGGGAAAGAGCGGGGCGAGGGTGGCGTCGAGGCGAGAGAGTGCCTCGGCGAGGCGCAGGCGCTCGAATGAGTTTGCGCGGAGGCCGGAAAAGTCGTAGTCAGTAAACGACATGTTGAGAACCTCGATGAGGTGAATCATGGTCATGCGGTTGGCGGGCTCGATGAGCGAGCCAAAGGGCGAGTCTGAGATGTCGTAGCGAAATGCCTCTGTGTAGGGTGTTGTGGGCGAGCGCGAGAGGGTGGACGGTGAGCCAACCGAGAGCTGGCTTGAGCTCGAGGCGACCGAGGTGCCGGCGGCCGCCTCGGCCGCCAGCCGCTCCAGATCAGCCTGGCTCGGCACGGCGGCTCCAGACGCGGTGGAGGCGGATGCAATGGGTGGCAGCAGCTGGCCGACGCTAGAACTGCTCCCGCTGGCAGCCGAAGCAGTTAGCGAGGTCATCTCTGGTGACGACGCAATCTCCGAGCGGATACGGGCGTCGAGGTTCTTCTCCATCCGCTTGTCCCGTCCGGACGGCTTGCATGAGTAGTTTTCGATGCGGCCGAGAATGCCTTGCGACGACAAGCCGGAGAAGACAAGATTGAGTTCCTCCAGCGACCGAGAGACGAGAAACTTCATTCTGCGAGGTCTGTGGAGGTGTGTGGGAGTGAGTGAGAGAGAGTGAGCGCGGCTTCGCGGTGTGTGGTGGGGGGGGGGGAGGGGGAGGAAGGGGAGGGCGGTGGGGTAGCAGTGGTGAATACAGTCATGAACACATGCGCGGTTTCGGACGAGGAGCGGTTGCGGAATAGACATGGGCGGGGGCGTACCAGGGCCTGCAGGGGTGGAAGAAGGGGAACGAAGGGAGTGATGAGCGGGTGAAGTGTGGTGGCTGGGGGGGGGGGGCGGTTTGGTGTGGTGAGGGGGGAGAAGGAGGTGGTGAGGGTGGCGGTTGGAGGAAGGCGGTGGCACGGGTTGGCGCGGTGGTTGGCGCATTTTTCTCGATACAGGAGAGATGGGGCGATAGGGCGCTGGAAGTGGGCAGAAACGAGGTGGGGAGGGCGATGATTAGACTACAAAGGGAATGGTGGCGTCAAGAACCGAGCGGATGGGCGGTGGCGGTGACGAAACGTCAACAGAGTCGTGGCGGAAGGAGCCAACGGCGCTCGGGATGCGATCAAGGCTCGGCTTGGATGAGCGGGTGCGGAGCCAGTTTTCGTCGAGGTGCATGCGTGTCCGCTTGAGCTTGGCAACGGGATCAACGCGACGGATGAGATCAGGGTAGAGCTCTTGGTCGCGAGGAGCATTGAGAACATTGGCGGCCTGTGCGTTGATGGCGATGGCGTCCGCGTCCGAGAGCGGCTTGCGCTCGGGAGCAGCGCGCGCCGCCTTGAGCTTTGCCTCCAGCCGAGCAGTGGCTGTGGCCGGAGCCGGGCGGGCTAGGGACTCGGCAGCAGGGTGGTCCGGAATGCTGCCGATGGGGTTGAGGACAAGGTTGGCGCGGCGGGATGCAGGGTGCGGGACGCGGGCAAGCTTGATGGGCTGCGCGGAGCGGCGGGCGGCTGCGGATGAGGTGCGGGCGGCCGACAGAGCCGCCGCAGCTGGGGCCGGGAGGGAATGCAACGCAGGCGGCTCCGGGCCGAGGCTAGATGCGTGCGGGTGGTAGGGGAGCGGGCCGGTGTGGTGGCGGACGGCCTCAAAGTGGACAAGCGCCGACGACGGCGGCGGCAAGGGGTGTGGCGTGGGGGCGGGGGCAGGAGTGGGTGAAGGCGGCGCGGACATGGCCAATGCGTGTGGAATGTGTGGGTGAGTGGGTGGGTGGGTGGGTATGTGGGTTCGGGGTGGGTGGCTAGGTAGGCGGGTGGAGTCGGGTGGGCAAAGTTGGCGCCAAGATGGGGAGCAGGCAGGCAGGCGGATTTGGAGCGAGCGCTACGGCGAGGCGGTGGGGATTGACGGGACACGGACGGTGATGTGAGCAGCGGGCGAGTCTGGGTGCGGGGACATTGTGGCGCGGGGAAGAGCGCCACCGCCACGCTCGCGGATGAGATCTTCGGCGAGCTGGGAGACGACCGAGGGCGCGATGCCGGCCATGCCAGCCAAAGCGGAGACGGTGCCGCGGCGGACTGAAGAGTCGATGACCGGAGACGGTGGGGTAGGCATGCGAACTAGATGCGAGCCTGGGCGTCGGGCGTCGGCAGAGGCGGTGACTGGGCGCGGCTCAAGCGGTGCAAGGTCAAGGAGAAGGGCGTCGTGTTGGGCGAGGCGGCGCTTGAGGCTCGACGACATGCGGGCGTGGCGACGGGCCTCGTCGGCAGACCAGACCTTGCGGCGGCGTGCAGCATCATGCATGTGGGAGCGGGTGCGGCGGAGAGCACGGACGTGGGCACGGACTGCGGCTTGTTCGTCGTTCTTCATGGCACGTAGGAGCGCATCACGGGCAGCGCGCTCGCGTGGGCTGCCGGCCTTGGCCTCGCGTTCGGCAAGGACAGCGGTGCGGGCAGCTTCAAGAGCACGGGCGTGAGCAGCCTTTTGAGCAGCGACTTCAGCGCGGCGACGCTCGGCTTCAGTAGCCGCAGCAACACGCTGGGACTCGCGGGCACGGGCCTGGGACTCCTTGAACTCGATGCGACGCTGGCGCTCGTCGGCGCGGGCGGCAGCAGCAGCAGCAACCCGCAGATCGCGGCTGGCAGTGGTCAGCAGATCGCGTCCGTGTACAGAGGAAGAGGTATGATGGAGGATAGCAGTTGCATCGGCGTCGTGAACATCAACCGTGAGAGGGGCGTGAACAAGCTCGTCAACAACTTGCGGTGGAGGGGTGGGAGCCGAGCAGCTTGCGCGGGGGTGTGCGTGGCGGTGACGGGATGCGGCGGCGTGGCGGCAACGAGTCGGGCGGATAGGTAGGCAGCGAGCGTGGCTTCTTGACTGGGACCGGAGCAGCCGCCCACTCTGACGCGCGGGAGAGAGCGGCTAGAGTGACCGAAGTTCGGGCCTTGGTGGCAAGGCGTGAGGCAGCCGACGGAGGCGGGGTATGGCCCAGGCGGCGTTGCGGCGGAAGGGGAGGGCCAGGAAGGGAACGAGGAGGGGGAGTGTCTGGTACGGCGTCGGTGACGACGGCGCGGGTGAGGCGGGTCGGTGGCGGTTGTCCGGTGAGGGCCAGGTGCGTGGGTAGGGTGGGCATGGCCCTCGAGTTGGGGAGGGGTGTTTGTGCCGACCTTCAAGCTGCCTGGACACCCAACTCCAGCAATGAGAGCGAAGAGGGGATGACCAGTGGCTGTGTCGGAGGTTCCTGTGATGTACAAAGGCTGGTGGTGGCCGCTGTGGCGGACTAGAGGTAGCGGATGGAGGTGACGAGGAGGGTGCGTGTGGGCAGGCGCGACGCGCATGGGGTTGAGCTAGAGCGGGGAGAGGAGGAGGTGGAGCAGGCAGAGGAAGCGGTGTGCGCGATGCGATGGTGGTGGGTATCGCCATAGTATGGGGGTGGTGGCTGTAGCTGCGATGGGATTGATGGGCGTGGAGTAGGGGGAGAGGGTGGTGGTTGATGGTGATGGGGCGTAATGAGTATGGTAGGGGGGATGAGGGGGGTCGTGACGTGGGTGGCGGAATGAGCGACAGGGTGGTGGGTATGGCGATTGAGCTTGAGGATTGATATGGGTGGGTAGGATGAGGATGATGGGTGTTTGTGGGGTGCGGGAGATGAGGGTGGAGGGGCTTGGGTGGCGAGGAGAGGAGGGCGGGATGGATTGGTTTGAGATGGACGTCGATGGAGACGATGGCTTGGGATTGGAAGAGAAGGCAGACCAATGCACTGAAGCCCACCGTTGCATTGCCTATCGATTGCACTGGCCCTTTCTTGTTCTTCCTTGTCTTGGCCAGCCCGGTGCCCTCGTCGTCTGGCTCGGTGATCGGCAGCAGGGATGGCTGGCGATGAGCAGGCCGGCGGGGGCTGTGATGGGCAAGTCCGGGAGAGGGAGGGGAGGATTGGGTTGGAGAGCAGACTGGTAGTCATTGCCATTGATGTGGCTATCTCTATGCGTTGCCTCCAAAGCCCTGTCGATGACTAGCCTGCTTTCGGTGGTGCCGGCGGTGGTCGGTCGGCGGCGGGCGGCGGTCGGCGGTGAGCAGCAGGCCGTCGGCAGCGATGCTGTTGACAAGTTGGCGTCGGCTGACGTGAATATCGGCGGGCAGGGAGTGGGTGGATATGTTTGCAGGGGTAGTGGGTACGTGTGGTGTGGGTGTGGTGGTTGTGGGTGGAGATGGTGGGGAGTGGGGGTCGGAGATGGGCCCGGGGAGGGGGGTTAGCACCTTCGAAGGGACACAGGGCCAACAAGTTGGGCCCGAGCCGGCGAAACTCGGATTCCGGAATACTGCAGCTATGGATTGGAGATTGTGCAAGGGGGTAGTGTGGACGTGTAGTATAGCAGTAGTGAAATCAAATCGGCAATATCTTGCGATCAGGTTGGTGGGGGGCGTGTGCGGGGTCGGGCGGTCGAGGTCGTGCTCAACCGCCTAGGCAAAACAAGCCGACGCGGAAATGAGCCGAAGTCGATGGGTATCGATGACAGCGATAATGGTAATGGTGATAGTGTGGGGTGAGTGATGACCTTGAGTGTGGTCGCGGGTTGCGTAGCTGGTAGTGGGAAGGAGCTAGGTGGTGATGAAGGTGGGCCTGATCGGGCGAGCGGGCGGCGGCTGGCGGCTGGTGGTCGGCGAGGCGGGGGCGGCACAGGGGGCTGGGTCGTGGCTGGGTGGCTTGAGATTGCTGATGGTTGGAGGATGGGCAGTATGGCATGTGATGGTTGAGGGTATGGGG